AAAACTTGTAACCGCTGTCAGCTTTTAGGGAAGGTCACTAGGAGAAATATGATGCCCTTACAACCCATCTTATTTGTTTAACTTTTTGATCTGTGGGGTATCGATTTTATGGGACCATTTCCAAATTCCTTTGGAAATGTTTACATTCTAGTAGCCATTGAATACATGTAAAAATGGGTTAAGGCGGTAGCTTGCAAAACTAATTACAACAAGGTCGTTGTCAAGTTTTTGAAAGAGAACATTTTTGTACGGTTTGGAGTACCTCGAGCAATCATCAGTGATAACAGTACACATTTCTGTAACCATTCTTTTGAAGCTATGATAAGGAAATATTCAATCACACACAAATTGTCAACTCCTTATCACCCCCAAACCAATGGTCAGGTAGAGGTCACAAACAGGCAGATCAAACAAATCATAGAAAAAATAGTTAATCCTAACAAAAAAGATTGGTCTGTAAAATTATGTGATGCTCTGTGGGCATATAGAACAACTTTCAAGGCTAATTTGGGGATGTCACCCTACAGACTAGTGTTTGGAAAAGCCTGTCACCTACCAGTAGAGTTGGAACATCGAGCAATGTGGGCGATAAAACAGTTGAATTTTGACTCAAACTCGGCAGGTAAGAACAGATTGCTCCAAATAAATGAGTTGGAAGAAATTAGAAATGATGCATACATAAACTTAAAATTTTACAAAGAGAAAACCAAGATTTTTCATGACAAACCAATTTTACGAAAAAATTTCTCTCCAGGACAGAAAGTTTTACTGTACAATTCAAAATTGCATCTTTTTCCTAGAAAATTAAGATCAAGATGGACAGGTCTATTTTTTGTCAAACAAGTTTTTCCGCATGGGGCTGTCGAGATAGAAAATCCTAAAAATGGTAACATTTTTAAAATAAATGGTCAACATCTAAAACCATTTTTAGAATTTTCTACACTCAGAGAGGAAGAGGTGTTGGTTCTTCATGAACCTCATTATCTATAAAAAAAATTACAATAAAAATAAATAAATAATTCTCTTATTTGATTTCTTCATCCTCATACTAACAGTAATTACAGATCCTTATCATCATTGTCGACCGAACAAATGTAAGTTCTTCAATTCTTATCTGCTTTACTTTGTGCATCAGTGAATTTGCATTGAGGACAATGCAAAATTTAGGTGTGGGGGTGGGAAGTACATATTTCCCTCTTTATTTTATCATTTTGTTGCATTTTTGACATAGTTTTTAAAAAAATAAAATCAAGGTGATTCTATCTTATAAAGCCTAAGTTGACCGAGTAATTAAGCCCAATGAGTATTTCTATACTTAATGACCTAAGCCCAATTGGGTTGGGATTTATTGGCCCAAAACTCGTTAAATGGTCACTTAGAAAGCCCGTTAAAATAGAAAATAATCACCAAGAATTAGAGAGTGAAGAAAAAAATTATATACATATAACACTAACCATTTTTTTATATATATTGTTGTTTTGTATATATGATCTTGAAAAATAATTTTTGATCAAGAGACTTGAAAGTTATTTAAAACAAAGAGTTAGCATGTTCTTTTCAAATCTTTTAAATTAAAATCTCTAAGATTTGACTTGGTTTTGTATTACTATAATGAAAAAGATTTTCTAAGGGATTTACATTGGAGTTATATATAAAAACGTTTTCTTGATTATTAACTAGCTTCAATTAGAATGTCTACATATATCAAGGAAAAGTAGTTGTTTACTGACTTATTTAACTTGACAAGATTGACCAAATTTTGTGGGTATATTCACTGCAAACCCTTACGAGACTACAACACGTCCACTAGGGTAACCTAGGGGTTTAAAGGCATGTTGTATGCGCTAAATACAATCACGATTCCTGCGAAAGTGAGTTAGAATTTTTTTTTATTTTCTTTGCTAGAGGACTAGCAAAAGTATAGGTGTGGGGGTATTTAATAATCATATTTTATTATAATTTTATATCCTCATTATCTATTTTACATGAATAAATATACCATTAATAATTGTTGTTAGATTAGTTTGCACATAATTGAATGAAAATATAAATAAATATTATTAAATGTAAAAACCCCTCAAAATCTCTCTTCTCTATTTTGTAGCATTTTAAAAGCCCATGAAGCAAAAGCTTAAAAGAGGAAAATGATTGAAGCCCAAAGAGCATGAAGCCCATCAAGCAAGTGAAGAAAAATGAACTCCAGCACATCATGTTACAATTGAAGCAAAAAGCCCACAAATGAATGATATGAAGCAAGGCCAAAAATCATTTCAATGCCAAAGGAGTCTCCATTGGACCAGACATGCTGCAGACTTTGGATTTTCATATTTTTTTTTTGAAAATCATATGGGCCTCATACGTTGGGCCAAAGAGCAAATACTCAAAAATAAAGTCCACTTCATGATAAATCCAACCCATTTCTTCAGTAGCAAATTTAAAGGTTGAGATTGCTTTGCTTGGGGCTCAAGATAAATCCAATGGATCACATTCATTAATGATTATTATAAATAGGGGTAGAGAGTGAGGAGTTAAGGGTGTGAAAAATTTTATAACTCCATTTGGAGAGGAGGGCTACTCTTAATTGAGAAGGTCTTTCAAAAATTGTAACTTTAGTTACAATTAATAATAATAATTTTCCTCCACTTTAAATTTATTCTTTCTCCTC